GGATTTGATTGGGTGGGTGGGTGGTGGTGGTGTATGTGTGCGTGTGGAGGGTGGGGGGTGGCTGGGTGTTGAAAAGGGATCTTCCCTCAAAGCCTCTCTAAGATATTCCTGGAGCGAGCTAAGGTTTCATTTGGCTTGCAGTCCTACACAGAGTGCTTACATCGCACTGGGAGCTAAAACCATTTAATATTCACAAAACCAGGCTGATATTCCCGGGGCTACATGACAGTTAATAATCAGATTTTCTAAATCTGTATGGTGCGAGCGTGTGTGGTTGAACTCCTTGGGTCGACAGAGCGTCATTAGCATGTCAGAGGCGTTTCGCTGGTACCCGGTTTTCTCCATGACAGCTGCTAGTCTGGCGAATTACTCAATTCGTGTGTGGATGTGCGTCCGTGTCCACGCACACGTGCGCTCAGTATCAACAAAGGAAGAAGCGAACAGAAGGTTTCATCAAAAACACCAAAACACCAAAAGTGTGTGTGTGTGTATGTGTGCTGTGCATCATGTGCTCACTTTGATGACTGAAGAAATCTCCATCAGCATCTTTCTATGGAGTGTATATGTGTTTGTGCGCGTGCATGCCGCGCGTGTTTGTGTGGTGTGTTTGCATGTGATTGCATAAACATGGTGTCAGAGTGATGAGATGTTCCCTCCATCCATCTGTTCTGCTGGCATTTACATCTTAAGAGGGCTACAATAGAGGAGAGACAGATAGGGGAAATGCAAGAAAGCGAGATAAGTAGTGCAGTGACGAGATTCTGCAATATTGTTGTTTTTTGTTGTACACTCTTTAGAGTAAATACACACTCCTGGGTCACCTGTAACAGCTCTCTGGTTCCATTCTGAAACCATCTTTTAACACGGTTGAGGGTTTCTAAGTATTTGCAAGAAGCCGTGTATGAGTGAAGCTATGGTGTATCTTCCTGTGGATGTGGATGTGGTTGTTTTGTTTTTTGTTTTTTAGTGTGCATGTGTGTTTTTGTATGAGTGTATGCATGTACAAGAGACAGAGAAAGAACTCATTGTTCCCATCCTCCTTATCTATCGTCCCAGCCGAGAGCCCGTGCTGTTTCCCCCCTCAGCGATATGACCCGGCTCTGATACCGCACGCCCTCGTCTCCACAGATAACAGACCACCCTAAAAATACTCATCTTTCTACCAACTTACTCGCTTCCCCTCTGTTCGCTTCACCTCTTCTGGCTCATTCTATCCTCCGGAGTCTCCCCGGCCAGGAGTTAGCTTCTGCCAGACTAAAATACCTCTGGGCACTTCCTAGAGTCACAGAGGTCTTCTAATTCTATATTTTCCCCCCTTTTCATCTTCTACTACTCATTCTATTGGAGACCGTGGATGTTGCAGTGTTGGTTTGAACAACAAAAGTGTAACTCAGACTGTTACATCACAAGTTTTCTTATAATTTTCCACAATAATTCCTCATCTCCCCCCGCAGCTACTTCAGTCACCCACAGTCTGGACACACGGGGCAGATGGCATGTAGGAGGAAAACGATGAGGACAGAATCTGCCGGGCTCACTTAATTACACATCAAATAATTTACCATAACGCAATAAAATATTGAAGAGTGCATTGTTTTTTTCGTGCCTCACGGGTTCGACAGTCTGGAACGATACTAATTATGATGATTTTTTGAAGATCATGCCACAGCCAAGAGCTTTGGGAGATTTTTTCTTAATCTCTCTGCCGATTCTCTCTCTGGCTAAACTCATCTCTGCTGTGAAGTGCTTTTAAGGATCCTGACAATGCCCCCTCTCCGTTGATTCGAGGAAGTTCTTTTTTGCTCATTTAAAATGCTTTTATTCCAAAGTACTTTGGCACGTTTGACATTTGGGGTTAGAAAAGCTGCCGTTTTGTTCTTTGTGTGTGTGTGCGTGTGTGCTCATGTGTGTGCTCACGCACGTGTGTGCGTGCATCCTCGCCCTTCTTTCGGCCTAAACCCACGCAGGTGACCAGAGGGGGCCTTGTGTGGGTGGACAACTCAATGGTATTTACAGTGATCCGCCCACAAGGAAATTGCTAAATCCTCTCTGTGACACAGTGTTGTTTGAATTATGTGCTAGTGTCACTTTTTCTGTT